TAATAAATATAAAAGATTGTTCATTTCTTGATATCATCAGTTTCATTAGTATTTTAAATAGCTTTAACAATTATTTCTTTGAATTCTTTAAATTCGATCTAATTAAAATACAATTTACTTATCCATCTCCATTTTAATCAACTTCTTATATAAGATCTTTCCATACTTTTTCTGATACCTAAGAATTTTAACCAAATATTTATTTTATTTCATCAATAGATATTGTACCACTTCCATCTTTATCAAATAATTTAAATGCTTATTCCAATCTTTTATCCTCTATTAATTTTACCTTATTAAAAGTAGCCAAAACAAATTCTATAAATTATAAAAATAATCATTAAATACCAGAATAATCAATACTACCATTTCCATCTTAATCAATTTATTTCATTAATTTATCAACTTCTATTTCAGCATCAGAATAACTCATTACTTTTGAATAACCTATTTATATATATAAAATATACCTATAATTAGTTCTTCCCTACTTAATCTACCATCACCATTTAAATCTAATGCTTAAAATTATGTCAATAATTCCTACTTTTCTTAACTAGTTGCTAAATAATTGACCATAAATGTAAGAGCTGCTTCTTAGAATTTCTTTTCAACATTAAAATTTTTCATATTATTTAACACTCTAGTCAATTAAGGTAAATCTATCTCTGGTTTTTTCACATAAGTTGTAATCCAATCATCTTATAAGGCATATTCAGCTGATATCCTTTTTTTAGGATCTCTCTCAAGCATTTTTGATATCAATCTTTTTGCTTCAACTGAAATTAATCTCCATTCTTCTGTATCGAATGAATAAAATCCTCTTTTCACGGCTTCCATAATTAAATTGTCATCATCTCCATTAAAAGGAGCAGTTCCAGAGAGTAAAATATAGAGAATTACTCCACAAGACCAAATATCACATTTTTCATCATATTTCCTTTCTAATACTTCTGGTGCAATGTAATATGGCTATATTAAATATAGAATTACAGTTCCAAGTTTTTAATCCATTTTTACATCTGGATCATAAAAACGAGATGTCCCAAAATCCACAATTTTGAGTAAGGCATTAGGCTTAGAAGATTCATATAGAATATTTTCTGGCTTTATATCACTTTTTAGAAATAATTGTAACCAAATAAGTACCGATGAACAATTTTGCTTTTATGCAAATAATTTACAGCACTCAAGATCTATTTCATAGTTTCTGCAGCCTTGCGTTCTGAAAATGAACTAGATTCTTAGATTTTATCAAAAAGCTCTCCTCCAGTGCATAGTTCTGTAACTATATACATATTTTTATTATCCTAATAAAATTCATAGATCTTTATAATATTTGGATGATCCTTGGATTAGAGAATGAAATATACCAATCTTTTAAGAATATCAACTTCTTCTTTTAGACGTTCCATATCAGCTTTTTTAGCCTTTTCTTTTGATATAATTTTCACTGCTCTAGTTTGGTTTGTTAATTTGTGAATACCCTTTCGAACTTCTCCATAAGCACCTAAAGTGATTGGAAAATGAGAATTACCTTTTCCTAAAGAAGGTTTTAGAAGATGATAATCTTATGAAATCTGTCCAATCTTTTCAGTTACTAAATTTAGAGATGTCACACGCAATTGAGATTTGTCATTAACTCATATATGGATTTAAGATATTACTATATTGAGGATTATTAACATCCGAAGGCTTAGTTGAACCACATCCCATTTTTTAATTAATTATTATAATCAAAGTAAAACTTCTCTTTAAAGATAATCATACAAAAATAGAAATTAAATTAAAGAGAAATCAATCTTCTATTTGTTATTCTTGTTTTAAATATATATATATATATATATTAAATATATATATATTACAAATATTACTCTGAATGGAATATTTTTGAATTATATTAATAAGTTAACAGTAAATTTAGAAGTAATATAATAATAATATCAATAGATAGAATGAAAAATGTAAGAGAAAGTAATTCATTTAGTAGATTCAAGACAAGACAAAAGTCAAGATCTAATGATCAAAATTCTTAGATTCTAAAATTACAAAGTTAATAATATGTTAAAAGTAAAACAACATGTCTATTATTAGAATTACCTCCTAAAGCTTAATAAGTGAGTTTCCATCTTTTACCAGAGAGCTATTAAGGATCTAAAACAAAATATATGGTTTAATAAGTCATTCAAGTATAATAAATTTCAATCATATTATAGAAACCTTCAAATAAAGTATTAAATGATACTCATAATTACTTATCTAGTAAGTATTAGGCAAATAAACTTATCAATAAAAATAGTTTTGTAAAGAATCATTCTAAAAAAATACATTCTATGAGTTATTATCATTGTAATTGATATATACAAATATATTTTTTAGATGATAGCATATAAAATGAGAATGATGAATTATGTATGCATTATAACAACTTGTCCAATGTATCTTTCAAAGAATATATGGATGCAGAAAGTATAAAATACAAATATTCAACATTAGCACGTGCCAACAAAATTTCATCTGATAAATCTTAAGAAATTATTGAAGGCAAAAAATTATTGAGTTTAGGTTAAACTGAAGAAGCATAAAAGTTATTCGAAGAAATTCTTTAAAACAGTAATAATCCTGAAGCAAGATATTTAAATGGTCTATGTCATTTGAGTAAATCTGAATTCTCAGAAGCCATTGCAGATCTTAGTCTCTTGATTTAACAATAACCACTCTATAAAAGAAATGCATATATTCTCTTAGCAATTGCTTATAAAAAATCAAACTGTCCAAACGATGCTTTAAATACTGTATTTATTATTGATTAAATCTAGTTAACTCTTTCTATCAAATAATTTAACAAATATTTTGATGCATATATATATAGAGGCAAACTTTTGTTGAAAATGAAATAATTTGATCGTGCTTTAAAGGATTTTACTTGTGCAGTTGAAATATAGCCAAAAAAGGCCATTTCTTATATTGGATAGGCTGATTGTTACAGATATATGAATCAACCAAAATTAAGTGTTTAAGCTTGTACTCAAGCTATAGAATGTCAAGATTCTTCCTTCAGATAAGCACTTATTAAAAGAACTCTTTTATATATTGATTTAAAAGAATATGATTTGGCTCTTTAAGATATTTAAGCTGTTTTGGAAGAAGATTATTGTGATTCTGAAGCTCTTTACATTAAAGGTTTCATTTGCACTAAAAAAAGTATATTAATTTATAATTTCTAGATTAAATTCAAGAAGCCTTTCTTGCATATGAGTAATCAATTAAACACAATAATTCAAAAAAAGCAGTTTCTAAATCTTTGTATGAAATAGCTAAAATTAAAATTGAGCAAAGAGATTTTTATGAAGCATTTTATTAATTAAGTCGTGCTGATTATTTAGATGTAGATGAGAAGATCTTAGAGAAATTTAAGATTTTTACTGATGGAGTTACATTCTTAATGAAACGTAAATTTGATGAAGGAGTAGAGACTCTTACAACACTTATTACCAAACATTAGGTTACAGATTTTTTGAAACCTCTTATATTTTAATATAGAGCTTATGGATATTTCTGTCAATCATAATATTAAAAGGCACTTAATGATCTCAATTAATTGACATCACTTGAAAAACCTTCTATTTATAATAAACTTATAGCTGAAGGTATCCTTGCTGCTGTTGCTAATTAATTTGAACAATCTCAAGGATTCTTTTTAAAAGCATAAAAATTAATGCCCAATAAAATGGAACCATATTTTTATAAAGCTACTACATTAGTTAAATTTTATAGTTATCTTATTCCAAAAGATGATATAGAGAAAAAAAATAAATTTTTGAATGATGCCATTAAATATATGGATATGGCAGTCAAAATAAATGAATAATCTAATCTTTTATTTTATAGAGGGATTGTTCTTTTTGCATAAGGAAGATTAGATGATTCCCTAATAGATTTAGATAAAGCAATAGAAAAATCAGAAGATCATGTAGCAAAACATTTTTATGTAAGAGGGTTGATATAAGCAAATAGAGAAGCATATGAACCAGCACTTAATGATTTAACAATAGCATTAAATTTAGATGAAAAACTTGTTGATGCTTATTTAAATAGAGCAAAAGTATTTCTATTATTGGGAGATAGGAAAAATGCATATTATGATGCTCAAAAATACAAAGAATGTAAATAGAATGATCCATAAACAGATATTATATTAGGGAATTTATTTTTTTAAATAGGAGTATATGAAGATGCTATTGAATCATATTCTAAAAGTATAAGTTCAGAAAAAAGTTTATAAGTTTTATATTTTAGAGCAAAAACATATATTTTAATAAAAGAATTAAATAGTTCTATGTTAGATTTATAAAAAATAGTTGAATAATCTAATGATATTCATGCAATTGTAGATTTAAATGTTTTATAGTAATTAAAAAATACTTCAACTGCAAATAATGATTAGAATATATTTTAAGAGGCTCTATAATGTGTAAATCAAATTTTAAAAAAAGGAGCAGAAGGTAAGATATTTAAAAAATCTGATATTTTGTTTTATAAAGGTTTATTTTAATTCTATTTAAAATAATATGATAGTGCTCAATAATCATTAAGAGAATCATATAAAATTAAAGAGGATCAATAGAAAAAGGAATTAGGATCTATGAATGATTCTGATTAATATATTTTAGATTAATTAAATCAAACTTAAAAGAAAGTAGAATTTAAAAGCAAACCTTTAGAAGAATTTGAATTTAGTGATAGAACTTATAATCTATATGAATATTACTTCAATAGATCTGCAATACATTTATTATTAGGATAGACTGAATCTGCACTTCATTATTTAGAATAATTATAGGAGAATATTTAATAATTAGAAATCTAAGAACATCTTTCATTATTTATTTAATTATTAAAGGATGATTAAAATCCTAAAAGTGAAATCAATTGTGAACTTTCAAAATTGACTGAATTTTTAATATTTCCTTAACATAATAGATTATGTTCCATATATCCTATGATTAAATTACCTTTAAAGAAATATAAATAAAATTTATAATTAAGATTATCTTTTTGTTTGCCAACAATAGAAATTCCAGAAATGAATATTAAATTTGATGATAAATTAATTGAAACAATTAGTGTATAAATCTATTTATATACAATTTTAGCCAACTGTAGTTGAAAATAAACCAGAAGCACCTTGGATTAAAAGAACAGCAGAAGGTGTAATATTTACTGATAATGTTCAAATAGTAGAAGATCTAGATCTACAATCAACAACAAGATAATCAAAAAAATAAACAGAAATTGAAGATCCAGAATTTTAATAATTTGAAGATTAATTAAATCATGCAATTGAAAAATATGATTATAGTGAAATAGATTAATAAGATGATATTGTTGAATAATAAAATTAAGCTTTAGATTTACAATAACTTAAACAAAATTTAATGTTAGATTCTAAAATTGCAGACAAATTAAATTCCATTCTATAAAAAAAAGCTTAAAATTGACTCATATATAAATTTATTTATTCATTTACATAAATGAGATTAATTCAAATAAAAAATACATATTTAATTGATCAGTATGTTTTAAAAGTATTTTATCGTTTCTCCAATATAAATTATTAATATAAATTTTATTTATATTTCTCCCATGTTTTTATTTATTTTCTTATATGATCTATTTCATAATCATCAAATTCTTTCATAGATCTTAATCCTGCTAAGATTTGATTTTATAAACTTTCTGGAAGATTTTAATATCTTTTTTCATCCAAAAAGAATACACTACCTTATACACTCTTTACAACAACTGTTAATCTATTTATATATATATATATATATTGATTACTTTGCATTACTTGTCTATTCTTAATCATATTCATTATCATATAATACTAATAATGATCTACCACAAATCACATCACATTTCTTTAATGTTTTTAATACATGTAAATGAGTATATGAAATTTCATTTTTACCTCTAATTTATTTATTACAATATTAATAGCATTTTGAATTTCTTATAACTTATTAATTTTAATTGTTATTTAAAGATAAATCAAAAGATTAATCTGCAAAATCTCTAGGTAATATAGGCTTAGTATTCTTATCTATGATTTTCTTATGTACTAAAGGTTTTAATTTATTTTCTAAATAATAATTTCTCGTTTCCCTTTTAAGTTAAATTTCCTCTACTATTTCAAATTCACCTTAAGCAATTATAATCACTCTATTTAATTAATCTCCCTTTCTTACTACACAATCTCCTTAAAAATATTTTTGAATTCCTAATTCTGCTACCAAATGTAATAATTGAGATGCAGAAGTATGTTAAAAAAATCTAATTTAAGATAAAATACTCAATTTGAATTCTTTATCTTTTTCTATAGATTATTTCAAAATCTTCTAAAATTAATCATTATCCATTCTTAATAAATAAGTTTATTCTCCACATGATATATGACTTGTTATTAATTTTGTTCTTTCATTTTTTAAAAGATCTCAAATTTATTTTACATAAATATACCTTTTAATTATGGATGTTCTTTAATTTCCTCTACCATATCTATAAATTTATTTGCAGAATATCCCCTACTATTATTTAATTATAATAAATTTATTTCTGATAAATCTTAACCATCAAAATAAGATTACACTGTCAAATATTCATATTCTTATAATTATATATCCATAGTCAATGTTTATTAACAAGAACCTCTAAGAATAACATAAAGATTATTGCTATTAGCACCTAATTGTAGAATTACTTTTCCAACATCATGAATTTCCATAGATGCTTTCTCCATTATTCCAATCCTGATTCCCTATCCAAATCTTTAAAAAAACTTATTTTTCAATAAAATTTTATCCATTGTCAAATAATTTCTTTCATATTCTTCCTTTTCAAATTCTTAAATTAAATATCTTAATTCATCCAAACTAAATACATTAAGTTCTAATTTCTCATAATCTACCTAATAATCCCATTAATCTACTTCCATAGTATCTGGTTCTAAATTCTTATACATAGAATTAACTTGTTCCTTTATTTTACTCAATTCTTCATTTGAATTTATTAATGGTTTATCTGGTTCCTAAATCAAACCTTATTAAATAATAGTTATATTTCTAATTATAAACATTCATACTCTTATATTTATTCATCATTATTTTCCATTTCTTTTTTGCCATATATAACAGATTTACTATGAGATATCGGCCTTTATTATTATGGTCCATATGATGTATGCTTAACATATTATAAATAACATACTAATTTTCTACTTAATCTGCCACTCTCCCTAAAACCTGTTCTTTATTTATTTCCAAAATCAACATCCATTGTTTTTTATAACTCTATTGTATAGGATTATAATTTCTCTCTTCTTGGACCAAGATAAAAAGAGTTAATAGTTCTATTTATTGTATTTATTGTAGTTGAATTATTCGTCTTACTTTTTGTCACACTCAACGAATAATTGCTTTCAAATTCCAATCAAAATTTTTACCTTTAATCATAAAAACTTTAACTATTCTGCCTTTGATTTGCAGATTCTTATGGTGTTTTATTTCGATTCTACTTGAAAGCATTTTTAACTCTAAGTATATTATACATCAATATTTCTCTTTTATTTATTTTTATATTATTGCAATATTAAATCAATCAATCCATCTTCCAGTATATCTTGCATCTCCATAACTAAGAGCCTTTTGAATATCTGATGGTAATTTGGGATAATTAGATGTCCAATAAGAGATTTCATTATCATTCATGAGATCCATTCCAATTTTATTAAAAACTGTTAGTCCTACAACTGCAAAAATACCCTTCATATATATAGAAGTTTAAGCACAATAAATATCCCCAATAAATCTGCCTAACTTTAAAATTATTAAGAATATTATTTACAAATAAACCAACAACAGGTAATCCCCATCTAATTCCTTTAATTTATTAATCTGTAAACTTTTTGGGTAATAATTATCCCTCTATTAATCAATATTAAATAAATACCTTCAGATTATTAAAATCTATTCAAAGCCTTTCTTAATCTTGATTGATTCTCCCAATCTGTATGATCTCTACCAGCATTAAGATTATAAAAAGGATTTCCATAAACTGTATATCTTGTAAGGAAATACTCCATTGATTATTATAATTATTATTTTATATATTCATAATAAATGATTAAAAGCAATAATCAATAAAAAATATAAGGATTCACTAATCTAAATATAACTATGATTAAATTTCATAAAATTATTGTATATATTAACATTTGATAAATTTCTAATCAACATCTTGTATACTCTCTCATATTATTTGAAGCCTTTGATTAGGTTTTTTTGATGGTTAAATTTAAAATAATATTTGAAACTAAAAAATAAGAAACTAAGATATTTTCTCTAAGTTCTATTCTAATCTAAAAATCTGGGTTAGAAATATATAATTTAATGAAGAAATTAGATTTTTAAATGAAGTAAATGTTTAAATGAACTAAAACTTTTTTTTTCTTATTTTTTTATAAAAATAGGCTAAATTTGTTTGTAATCATATGAAAATGATTGTTATTCTTTAATTTATTCAAAACTCTTAGGTAAAATTACATAAAGAATTCTAAATTAATAAATGTTTGTCTTAATTTATAAAAACACATTATTATTTAATCATTGAAATCATTCTTTTTTGTCTTAAATTAATGCTTATTAATCCTAAAAGAATGGCTAAATTAATAAAATATAATCATATACATGATACAAGGCTTAAGTACTTGTTATCCGTTTTGAAGGATCAATTTATAACAATTTCTAGTAATTCTAGGCAAATAAATACATTAATTAAATCAATAAACAAGTTATTGAATTTAGCAAACTGGGAATTGTTAATAAACCATTCATCTAAATAGTTACTTTTTAACTTCATACCTCTGTTTATAATATTTTTAATTAATGAAAATTAATGGCTTTCAGAGGATCCCATAAATAAAGGTTTATTAAGTGCAATTTCTGCAATAATACACCCAATAGACCACATATCTATTGCATAATCATAGGAATGACAATTTTGTAATAATTCTGGAGCACGATACCATAATTAAGTTACTCCTGCTGTTAGATTAGGAGACAAAACCCTAGATAATCCAAAATCAATGATAACTGGTTCATTATTTTTAACTACAATATTTTTTGGTTATAAATCTCGATGTATAAATTTTCTTTTATGAATGAATTCCACTGCCAAAAGTATCTTATAAATTATATTCTTAATTAATATTAAGTTTATATACTTTGAGGTGATATTCTTCATGTTTAAACTTCAAATACTCTGACAAATCCATATCGTAATAGTTCATAACCAAATGAAGTTTCTTATTTATAATTATTTAAGATATCAACCTAAATAAACTCAAAGTTTTATTACTTTATTATATTAGGATGTTTGAGTTAATTTAAGATTGAGATTTCTCTAAGAGCACAGCTAGGAACACCTTCATTATCCTTGAAATATGTCATATTTATTACACTTAATTTAAATTTCTTCAGTGCTACTATTTCTTCAGTCTAAACATCTTTAGCTTTATAGATGATTCCATAGGCTCCTTCCCCTATTTTCTATATCTTAATGTATCTCAAATTCTCAAAAGTACTCATATAATAATAAATTATATCTTTGATTCAATACAATATTTATGAATCACATATAATTCTGTTCCATTCGAATAAATTATCATAAATTTACATATTTATAATTCTTATGACCCCCTCAACTATTATATTTTTTTTTAAATTAGTATCAAATTCACACATTAAACAAACAATCAATTTAATTCAAAATAAAATATAAATATAATAGTATAAAATGAATATAAAATAGAATTCATTAAAATAATGTCCATTCTTCATAAAACAAATTAAATTACTTGATATTAAATTTAAAAATACAATAATTTACTAAAAATTTAAAAAGCAACCAAGTTTCAAATAATCAATTATTACATTAAAATTAGACTGAACTGAATGTCTCTATGATTTTTATATCTTTAAAGAATATTAATAAAACATAAATTTATTCAACATTACATTTTTTGATTATATATTATTTTTATGAGTTTCTAATAATAATAATTACAATAAGCATTTTTCGAATAATAAATCTCTGGACATTCTATATTTATTAAACTTAATGATGGCGAATTTGTAGCTAAGTCATACTCAATTGAAAATAATAATGAATAAAAGTATTTCTAAAAAGCTTATTAGTTTTTATGAATGGATTCAAAATATAGACGGATATTAAGAGTTCTTCTCTTAATATAATGGTGTAGTCATTCTAGAAAAAAATCAAGAAATATCAAAATAAGAAACAATCAACTCTTAATAAAAATGGTTAAATTCTCTCATTTCAAAGAGGTATAATCCAAATAATAAGAGTAAATATTTCTAAAAATATTTCTTAGAATATTTATTACTATAAAACTTGACTTAAAACTCTTAGAATTTGAGAATTATAGATCTTAAATTAGGCTATACAGTTGAAAAATAATCACATATATAGCGATATCAAGATTCAACTTCCTCTAAAATAGGCCTAAGAATTTGTGGAATGAAAATACAAGAAAATAATGAACTAGTTTTGTTTAAGGATAAACATTGGGGTAGAACTATATCTGTAGAGGAATTAATAGAGTCAATTAAGATTTTTTTTAGTTTAAAAAATAGAAATTGTAAGTTTTGTTATTTAAATTTAGAAATTTTAAAGGAGGCCATAGATAAAATAGAATCACTAAAACAATTCATTATTAGTAATTGTAAGCAAGTGATTTCATGGTAAGGAACAAGTTTGTTATTAATTTATCGTGATGATAATGATTTTAAAATTAAGTTGATTGACTTCTCTAATACCAAAATGGACCTAGAATCTACTCAAATTAATACTGAGATAATCAAAGCTTTAAATAGTTTATAGGATATAATAAAGCAAATTTGATATATGATTATTATAATAAATTTTCAGTTTTCTAGAGGAATTGATAAATATAAAAGAAAATAATCAAATCCATTAAAAGTTTTTATATTTAAAAATATATGTAAGGAGCTCCAGTGATTGTGGTGAATGCTAACACAAAAAGAGAATAGGGTAGAAAAGCTCAATTAGGAAATATCTAGGCAGCCAAAGCTGTATCAGATATCGTCTTGACTACTCTTGGACCCAGATCAATGTTAAAAATGTTACTTGATCCAATGGGCGGCATTGTAATGACAAATGATGGCAATGCAATTTTAAGGGAGATTGATGTTTAGCATCCAGCAGCAAAGAGTATGATCGAATTAGCAAGAGTATTTTAATAATTAAAAATTTAAAGGCTCAAGATGAAGAAGTTGGAGATGGAACAACATCAGTAATCATATTAGCAGGTGAAATGATGGTAGCAGCTAGACCATTCATTGAAAAGAATATTCATCCAACAGAAATCGTCAATGGATATTTCAGAGCCTTGGAAGATTCTGTAAAAATTTTAGATGAGATTTCACAATAAATAGATACAGACAAAAAAGAAGAAGTAATGAAAGCATTACAATCTTGTATTGGTACTAAATTTGCATTTAGATGGGGAACATTAATTAGTGATCTCTCTTTATAAGCAACAAAAATAGTTCTTAGAGGAGGAAATATTAATAAATTAAATTTAGAAATTAAGAGATATGCAAAAGTAGAAAAAATACCTGGAGGTATCCTAGAAGATAGTTGTGTACTTGAAGGAGTTATGATTAATAAAGATGTTACTCATCCAAGAATGAGAAGAGAAATCAAGAATCCAAGAATTATTTTATTGGATTGCACATTGGAATATAAGAAAGGTGAATCTATGACAAATATGGAAATGACAAAAGAATAAGACATGACTGATGCCCTTTAATAAGAAATTAATGAAGTTGCTCTTATGTGTAATGATATATTGAAACACAAACCTGATATTGTAATTACAGAAAAAGGTGTTTCAGATTTGGCTTAACACTTTTTATTAAAAGGAAATGTTTCTGTCATTAGAAGAGTAAGAAAAACAGACAATACAAGAATTGCAAGAGTTTCAGGTGCTACAATTGTTAATAGACCAGAAGAATTATAAGAAACTGATGTTGGTACATTATGTGGAACATTTGAAGTCAAAAAAATAGGAGATGATTATTTTGCATTCTTTGTAGATTGCTAGAATCCAACTGCATGCTCTATTATATTAAGAGGTGCATCAAAAGATGTTTTGAATGAAATGGTATTTATTTAAAATTAATATTAATTAGGAAAGAAATTTACATGATTGTTTGGCAGTTGCAAAAAATATTTATTAAGATCCAAAATTATTACCAGGAGGAGGAGCTGTAGAAATGGAAGTTAGTGCTAGATTATTGGAAAAAGCCAATAAAGTTGAAGGATTAGGTTAATTACCATATAAAGCTGGTATATTTAATAATTATATATTTAATAGTTGCCTATGCTTTAGAAATCATACCAAGAACTCTTTCTGCTAATTGTGGAGCTGATACTGTTAGAGTATTGACAGAATTAAGAGCTAAACATAGTGAAACTGGAGGATTATTTTTTGGAGTAGATGGAAATACAGGAAAAATTGCTAAGATGAATGAAATTAATGTTTGGGAGCCATTATCTGTGAAAAAGTATACTCATTCTTTAACAACTAAGATAAGTTTTTAAAACTGCTATTGAATCAGCTTGCATGCTATTGAGAATTGATGATGTTGTATCAGGAATCAAGAAGAAGTAATAATAATCAGGACGTCAAGGAGAAGAGGAACCATAAGAAACTTTTGGAGATCAAAGAGATGGTTGATAAAATAAATCAATAACAATATAGGATAAATATAGTAATAGAATAAATAAATATAATTTTTTTTAATTAAGGGAGTGAGTTTGTTTACAAGGTCAAAGGGATCAAATTTTCTAGCAAATTCTAAAATAGTATTTATATTTATGTACTTAAAAATTTAATTCTGATAATTATTTATTTAAGTTCAATTTGTAGACACATAATGGCATCTTAATTCAAGAAATTGGCACCTCTCCTCAACAGAGTTTTAATCTAAAAGTATGAACCTGTTACTAAGACAGCTTCAGGAATCCTTCTATAAACTTCAGATGAGAAATAAGCTGTAGGAAAAGTTGTTGAAGTATGAAATTTATTCTAGAAATTTCCAGGCTGGTCCAGGATAAACAGATTCAAAAGGAAATGTCATACCTACTTTAGTCAAACCTGGTGATGTTGTTTTACTTCCAGATTATGGAGGATAGAAAATCAAGTTGGCAGATTAAGAGTATTTCATTTTTAGAGATTCAGACATTATTGGAATTTTACATTAATGATTTCTATTATAATGTATAATAAGACATATTCATTAACATTTCACTTAGTTTTTCAATGATAATCTAGCTCTGTTTTAATACGAATATTAATAATTTATGTGTTTATATTTTATTTATTATATAAATCTTGAGTTTTGATGAGCACCTCTCTTACAAAACCAAAAAAACTTAAGTTGACAGATTATGAAGTATTTCAAACTCTAGGCACAGGTACTTTATAGCTAAATAGCAATTTTAGGTTCCTTTGGGCGAGTTAAATTGGCAAGGAATAAATAAACAAATAAATATGTTGCTTTAAAAAGTTTAAAGAAAGCTGAAATCATACGTTTAAAATAAGTTGATCATGTGATTAATGAGAATACTATTTTGGGCAATTTACAGCATCCTTTTATCGTATTATTTTCTTTCATTAATTTTTAGGTTAATTTTGAAGGATTCTGTTAAGATCCAAGATACATTTATCTAGTATTAGAATTTGTTTCTGGAGGTGAATTATTTACTTATTTGAGAAGTATAGGAAGACTTGATACATAGCATGCGGGGTAAACAAAATAAATTAATTATTTAGTTTTTATGCTTCTTAAGTAGCTTCAATTTTTGAATATCTTCACTCAAAAAATATAATATATAGAGATTTAAAACCAGAAAATTTATTAATAGCAGATGATGGTTACTTAAAATTGACAGATTTTGGATTTGCTAAAGTAGTTGAAGGAAGAACATATACACTTTGTGGAACACCTGAGTATTTGGCACCAGAGATTTTATTGAATAAAGGACATGGTAAAGCAGTAGATTGGTGGACATTGGGCATTTTGATATATGAAATGAATGCAGGAATTGATCCCTTTTCTGATGAAGATCCTATGGCAATTTATCAAAAAATTCTAAAAGGAAAGGTGAAATTTCCTAAATCTTTTGATAAGTATTTAGTAACAATAATATAGAAATGCTAAATCATTAGTAAAACATTTATTAGTTGCAGATCTGTCTAAAAGATATGGAAATTTAAAGAATGGTAATTTCTATATGATTATATATAACTAGGGGCTGCTGATGTAAAAAATCATAGATGGTTTGGAAATCTAGATTGGAATTTACTCACTTAAAAGAAATTGCCTGTTCCTTATAAACCTGTTGTTAAGTAATTCTTTAAAACAATCTCTTAAGAGCTCCCAATGACACTTCAAATTTCTCATCATATCCAGAATCCGATACTTAAAGTCCAGCCCTTAAACCTGCAGATGATCCCTTCCTTGAATGGTGATATATTCATTAAATTGAATAAATATATAATAAAGAAAAATCAATTTCAATATTATTTTTTTAGCTTCTCAAGTAGATGAGAAAAAATAATCTTTTTTTTAATTTAAAAAGAGTAAAAATTATTTTGTTCTCAATATTTGATAATTATTATATACTATTTATTATTTGGATTGTTAAAATATTAAGTAGGTTTAAATAGAATAATTAATGATAAATAATTAGTTTATTTTTGAATTAAAGGGATAGTTGAATAGTCCAATCATAAATTTATTATTTATAAATTAAAAATTCAGTACAATAATAGTTAGAGGTATAAATGAAATTTAATTAATTAATTTCATATTATAAATAAATATCTTTTTATGGGTTGTTCTTCTTCAAATGTAAAACTGTCAATTTATAAAGTAGAGTGCCGATGTTAATAATCCTGGAAATGCCCCTAAGGCTGAGGTTATTTTCATTTTGGTAATGTTTTTTTTTAATTTTTATAGGGAGGTCCTGGATCTGGTAAAGGTACACAATGTGAAAAAATGGTTAAGGATTATTGTTTTTTGCATATAAGTACTGGAGATTTGTTAAGAGCAGAGAGATAAAAAGGTGATATTTCATACTAAAATTAGGTGGACCTGATGCTGAAGAATTAGAAAATATTATGAGAGAAGGCAAATTAGTTCCATCTGATACATTAGTAAAGTTAATCAAAAAAGTATGAAGTTTTTAATAATTTTGAGGAAATTGAATCTTTGGGAAATACAGGAAGATATATATTAGATGGATTTCCAAGATCATAAGATAATTGGTAAAGTTGGAATAAAATAATTGGAAATTCTGTAAATGCAAGATTTTTGTTGATGTTTGAATGTTCTGAAGCAGTAATGGAATAAAGACTTTTAAAGAGAGGAGAGACATCAGGTCGAGCAGATGATAATGCAGAAACAATAAAGAAAAGATTTGCCACATTTATGAATGAAACACAACCTGTTGTATAAGATTTTGAGAAGAGGAATATGGTAGTCAAAATTAGTGCTGAAGCTACACCAGATGAAGTTTATGAAAATGTTAAAAAATCATTAACCAATAAAGGTGTTTAACCATTAAAACGACCTGAAGTGTTATTTGTTTTAGTAATATAGTTTTTAATTTCAAGGGTGGACCAGGATCAGGAAAAGGTACTTAATGTGCTCGAATTTCTAAAGACTTTTCATATGTTCATTTATCAACAGGAGATTTATTAAGAGAAGAATAGAAAAAAGAAGGACCAATGTAAGCAGAACTAAAATCGATTATGGAAGCAGGTAAACTTGTTCCATCTGATCTTGTTGTAAAATTGATGAAAAAGGTATATATTTGTTTTATATAAATAGGAATTATTAAGAAGATAATTTAAAGGAAAGTATTTATTAGATGGTTTTCCTCGTAATTAAGAAAATATTGATTCTTGGAATAAAATTCTAGCTCCTTTAGTGGATGTAAATTGTTTACTTTACTTTGAATGTTCTGATGCTGAAATGACTAAAAGACTTTTAGAGAGAGCTAAAACTTCAGGAAGGGCAGATGATAATGAAGAAACAATAAAAAAAAGATTAACTACTTTTCATTCTGAAACAAAACCTGTTCTTGGAGTATTTAAAGATTAAAGTAAAATTTTTAATATATTTAGATAAATTGAAGGTCATTAATTCTGAATAATTGGTTGATGTTGTTTATTCAAATGTTAAAAAGTAATTTAAAAGTAGTGGACTAGCAGTAACTTAAAATGGTTAAAGACCTGCTAAAGGAAAATATGTTATTGGTTTGATAGGGGCTCCTGGAACTGGAAAATAAGTTCAATCTTAAAGAATATCAAAAAGGTTTGGATTTCAACATTTTTCAACAAAATTGCTAATTAGAGATGAAATAAAAAAAAATACTTAAGATTCATAAATAATAAAAGATTGCTAAAAAAATAATCAACCTATTCCAGGTAAAGTAGTTGTAAAATTAATAATTGCTGCTATTAATTAATCAAAAGCTGTAATTTATTAATATATTTTAGAGAAAATTTATAATTGATGGATTTCCAAGAAATGAAGATAATCTAAATGCATGGTATGCTTAAACTAATAATCCTATTCGATTAAAATATATAATGTGTTTTTCATGTTCATAAGAAGTACTTGACAAAAGAATTGCTGCTGATGTTGGTAATGATAAAATTAATCTTAATATAGCAAAAAAAGATTAGGCTAGTATTTAAAGGAAAGTTGAAATATTAAATAATCAAACAAACTAAATTATTTAAATGTTTAAGAAAGATGAAAGACTTATTGAAATAAATACAGAACCTACAATTGATGAAGTATTTGCTGAAATTGAAAAAGTCTTCAATGCTAAAAAGCTTGATAGATGAGAAATAATAATAAAATATAAAATAGAAATATATAATCTATTAGTTGTGTTTCCAATTAATTAGAATTATAATTATATAAATCAATTATTATTTATTGCAGCATCTATGAATGAATTCCATTCAATAGCATTGTATCTTTATAGTTCTATGGAAAGAAATTTAATTTTCTACATAATCTTCTCAATTTAATTTGATTCTTCATGAGAAAATTATTACTGTGGAATTCCTAAAAGCAATTTTTCAATAATATTATAGTATTCATATGATTTTGAATGTTGTCTTCTCCATCCCTAGAATTCCTGTTTTAAAATCATAAATTATTAATAAAGTTTTGAAGAAGTATCATTTAACATAGGTAAGAAATAAAGACAAATATTTCGATCTTCATCTTCAAGATGCTTTAATATGATTAAACATGGAATAGCTACAAAAATATCACTATCCCTGCATTCTAATTGTTCTTTAAATTATTTATATTTTTCAGCTGATGTTTCTATTATATGAGAAAACAACATTAATTGAGTGTATCTCTTTGGATCCAATAAATAATTTAAGCCCTTTTCCCATTATGTTTCATATTCAACCAATATATCAACTAATTCTTAATTATTTTTTAATTGAGGATCGACCATTTCAATATTACCTTCATATCTTCTCATCTATTCTCTGAACTTTTGGAAACTTAACTATTATAACAAGTCTACTTCATTTTGATGCTATCAGCAAGATTTCTCACAGCTTAAGATTACTCTCGTGTAACTCTTCTGGTTATACCTTCAGCTTCAAGTAGGATATTTACACCAAGATCATCCCTTCCTTTACCTTCAACATTAGCGACCGAATTAATTTGTGCTATCACTTTGCATAACTAGCTTCAGTATGTGAGTTACTTCAGCTTTTTATTGTAGATAATTCTCACAAGTTACAAGGATTCTCCCCTTCAATTTTTCTCGTACTTCAATAGATATCATTTCTTTATCAATTTCTATTGCTTTTAGGATAAATCGTCTTGCCTCTGCTTCTATTTACATTAACTCTTTCACATAGTACTAAATTATCAATTTAAAGTACTTTCTCAAAATTGACCCAAATGATATCGAAATTCTCCAACAATAATTGAATTTCAGCCTTCAATTTTGAAGAAGAAAAATCAGGACTTTCTTATCCAGTACCCGAATAGGTGTATCTAATGACATGTTGAACTTTATAAAAAGCCTCTACTAACCGCACTCCAGCTTCTAAAACATCAGTTGAAAACGCATATTTTTCAGAATTTACCCACAAATAAGGAAACCCTAATATTTAAATGTCTAATTGTTACCTTCCTAAGCACTATCAAGAATTTCAGTCAAATAACACAACTCACCATCTGTATATAGTATTTTGTAAGCTTTTGAGAATGTGTCTCTATATTCTCTTGATACTGCACTCACTTTATACACCTGTGAGTTAATTGATCAAATACTTTACACATATTTTCAAGATGGTACAGAAATTTCTTACAACTATGTTATCCTTCTGGATTATCTAAATCGTATTTCTAATAGTCTCTCTAAATTAATTAGCTTTAGCTTCTATACGCTTTTTCCAAGGCTTCATATTCTTCTGATCTTCATATTTCTTTACAATTTTACCTCTTAAATTCCTCTAAATCAGTTAATGGTCTAGGAGGAGCAGTCATACATCTCTTTTATATAGATTCTTCAAAGGATGTGGCATCAGAAACTATAGAATATATTACAACAGCTTACTGTCATCGTCGATTTCCTAAAAATGCTAATTGAGCATTATATTTATTTATGAAATTAAACTAATTTATAGAAAATAACTACTATAAAATATATTATAAAATAAAATTAGATTAGTAAATATATCCAGCAATTTACATTTTGAATGTTCAAAAGAAACAATCAAATAATTACATTTAAATTTTAAACCATTTTTGAATTAGTTTTTGTGTATTAATTAATAAATTTCCTTCATTAATTATGCTTTCTATCATTTTCAAATATACTTCATAAAACCAACGTTTATAAAGTTGTTACAAACTCCTCTTAAGCCTTAAGCATTATCCTTCTTGTTTTGATTATGTTAGTAACTTTAATTTATATTTTGCAATACAATAATTAGAGATTCTTCCTTAAGATAGGGGTATTTATAATTAAAAGAAAAATCCAAATAAAGTTTGTTCAACTGCTCCTCTTTTCCTTATATTAAAGTTAAGAGAAATTCTCCTTGTACATTTGCTATATAAGGTTCATCAGATTTATAAAAGAAGGGTTTAGTTCTATCAACAAGGGTGACGGTTTTCTTTTATTACTTAATAAAGGATAATTCAGCATACTTACTCAAAGAGGAATAAAAATCCTCACGTATGTTGTGTTATTTTATAATTGCTATATCATCAGCTTAAATAAAATAACATAAAAAAGACAAAAGTATAATCGAAGCATAAAATAAGTAAATATATTATCTATTATAACATAATAAAATCAATAAAGCAGCAGTGAAGAAAATGATAAGAAATTACAAAAAAATAATTCTTACTTCAAGATCAAAACTAGTAAAAGTAGCATATAAAATCTAATTTAATTGCTTTACCTTATTAATATTCAAAGAAAACTTTATAAATAAATAAATAAAAAATAAGGCCAAAATAAAGTAAATCATTTCAGAATCAGAGTCGTCTTCTAAAGATCTTCCAATTAAAAAAATATAATAAGTAAACATAATGTCATTTGTAATTTAATCTGGAGAGGAAGAAATAAAAAATAAGCGAAAGAATGGAGAAAAATATTTAATGAAGGTTCCTAATAATCAACCCATAAGTAGATATCTCAATAAAATAATTTGAGCACTATTTAATCTAATTCACACAAAAATTCTTAAGAAAATACTCAAGAATAATAATTGCAACAAATAGGTTCAATATTTTCTACAATATAGCTAAATGAATATATCAATTTACCTGTTTAATATATAAAAGATGATTCTACATTGATTATAAAAATGACGAAATACTTTTTAAGTATTATAATTTAGATATTGAAAAATGCTAACCTGTTGTGAGTGATTTTTTATAAGGAAAAGTTGAAAAAAACTGTTAATAAGATAAAAAATTAATAATTTAGATAAATAGAAACTAAACATTGATAATATATTATAGAGAATTGAAAGAGTTGAAAATTCATTTTTTAGCAATAGAGTCACAAACTAGAAAATAAATCATAAAATTTTTGTCATAAGATTCAGATAAATAATAATAAGTATCATTACAGTAATTAAATAATAAAATTGATGATATCTAATAATAAGAAAAGGAATTTGTTATAGATCCATTTGGCATTGGCTAATAAATTAATTATTATTATAGTGATAAAAATTATTCAAAAGATAATTTTATTTTATAACACTCAGCTAAAGATCCTGAAAAATGTATATATTTTTTAAATATATAGTTATGAAATTTAAATTGCTATTGAATTTTCCAAAAGTAAAATTAAAAATTAAAAGTGAAGAAGAATTATTAAAAATTGTTGAATTATTTTTAATTAAAACCAAGGAAGATTTAGTCAATTTTGAATCAAAGAAAAATTAAGAGGGATTATATATGATTAGAAAGAAATAAATTGTATGAGAATATTTGAAATAATAATTTATTTATAAATGATTAACTTAAAAATAATAATAAATAAATGCTTTTTTGATTTTTATAAATTTCTTATTAGATTTTTAAAATACTACTCATAAACTTGATGGTCTTTAATAATCATTAATAAACGTTATCAAAATTGAAAATTAGGATGAATTTTTAATTATTTTTAAATTTTAAATACATTTAAGAAATTATAATGTTAAAATATTTTCAGATAATATAAATTTGAAATAAGTTCTAACTTATTTATTTAATTAACTTTTTTTTCCAGATAAGATATTCTTTTTTTTTAATTAAATTATTTAGATTTAGATATTTGTTAATTAAAGTATTTCAAATACTATTTAAATATATAATTAATTTATATAATTAATTTATATTTATATTTAAGATTGCTATTGCATTATTGAAGCAGCATAATAAAATAATAATTTAATATCTGATATATTTTAATGATCAAGCTAGATCAAATCCTTCTCCTCCTTCATTTAAAGCTGTTTCTAATTATTTCCTTAAAGTTTCTTCGTTGGAATAGGCAGGTAGGTCTAATACACGAGTGCTATTTATTAAATTTTAGTTATACCATGTATGCCCTGTTGGTAATCTTGAATCAATATCATTTTATTGATAATTTGGTAACCTTATTGTAATTCTGCACTCTGGATTTTAAAATCCTCCAACAGGAAGTTTTGGGTGGCCTTAAATTTATCTGATTTTTACCTGTTGCAAGACTTAAAAACTTAGCTAGCATATCTTAATTAAAACTCCTCAATATATTTTTTAACCATCCAATCACTTAATGTTGGGCAGTATAACCTTGATATCTCAAAGTTCTTATAAGATCCTCAACTAATGATTTTTTATATAAATTAATACCATCTATATTTGATTCACCACATAGTAATAATTCTAATTAAATCGAATCAAAGATTTTAATATCTTCTTTTGATATTAGTGAATAAAATCCATCTTAAATGGCTTTAATTTAATCTTCAATATCTTTTGCCATAATTTAGTGACAATATTTTCTTACATAATCTTTTTTATCATATTCTGTAACTTCAATATCTTTACCCCCAGGTTTAAGTTCCACATCTACAGGTACACCACCTTATTTAATTGTGTATGCCCAAAACAAATTCCAACTAGAATCAATTTTCTAATTATAGATAAGATCGAATGTATTATTCAGCCCTTCATCATAATTTTGGATATCAGCTCTGGATAATTTTTAGCCTATAATATGTTTAAACATTGAGATTGGAAATTAGCCATATATAGGAACTTTTGTTAGAATGGCAATAGCAAAAATCTTTCCAACAAATTTAAATTTGTTAAGATGATCAGGATCACAAGATGATTCCCTATTTATTATAAAACATGTATTGTCTGAATTAGGTATGAATAGTTTATATTTTTAATCTACAATTTATTCTGAAAGTTTGTAAATCCAATCTTTCGTCAATCCACCTGCATCAATTCCCTATTCCCCTTCAAAAATAATTTCAAATTATTCTTTAAGAATATTAGGATCGGTTATGCTTTTAATTTTTATGTATGAATCTTCGAAAATGTATTCTCTCCTTATTCTAAGCATTCTTCCTCCTCCAAAAATTTGTTATTAATTCCTTCCATTTATTTATTATTTTTAATAAAAATAATCTTTCTTATTTTAAAACTTTATTACTTGAGGATGATACGTAAAAATGCCATCTAAAAAATCATTTTCAAAAAGATAATCATTCCTTCTTTATTGATTTTATCTAATAGTTCTATAATAAGTTATCATTTTGTAAATTTACTCTTTTACTATTTGATTGATGTATTCACTGCCATTTTAACAAAGTATATTAAATAACCTTTCAAAATCAATCAAATTTCCTATTGATTCTGTTTGTGAGATTTCTGGTTGTGAGATTTCGATTGAAGATACTTTTAAGAGTTGTAAATTTTAATTTGCAATTGGATGAATAATTTAATGACATATCAAAAATACTTTTAGTATTGGTAATAATCTCTAGTTATATCTACAATCATGTAAATTCTAAATCTAAGATATTAATTAATCTAAAATGTTAAATAAGTCTTATATTTCATTAGAATTAACAAAGATTCTGCATTACTCCAATTGTTATTCATCCTTGGATGCAATATAAATCATCTAAAATATTTTTTCTACTTCATTTAACTATTTAAATGTTTACTCAACTTATTATTAATTCAGGAATTAATTTGTATAATATTCAGAAATGCTAATAATTTAAAATTTCATATATGACATTAATTTATACGCATTTTTATCAACATTCCATAGATTAGATATAAACTTCATACAATTAGAACTATTTTAAATATCATCCTATTCAATCATAAAATTATATAACATTTTAACCTGCTCTGGAGCTAATGTTAATTGATATTTTTATTCTTAATTGGCTAAAAATTAAAGGAGTTGTTTCAAACTATTGCCTTTTAATTTAAAAAGTAGCCCAAAAAAATCTTTAATATTTTCATCTGATATATTCTATTTTGAAGTTGATTGTAATTAAAGTAAAAGTTTGAATGCTTTATTTTAGATAAAATTTGAGGAATAATCAAAATCTCTTATTATTTCATTTCTCGAAAGTATAAAAGTTTGTTAATCAGCATTTTCTTAGATTTAATTTTAAGTAGTCTTTTTTAAAGTGTTAATGGCAGCTTAGATTATTTAATTGTTAAAATTTGCTTTTATTCCAAGACTTATTAAAAGAGTATTTATGTAATCATAATTTGAGCCAAAATTATCATCTACATATAAGAATTTTAACAGAAATTATATTAATTATTAATCTATTTTACCTAAATGCTTTAGGGTCTATTTTCTATTATTCAATACAGAATTAACAATATTTTTTATTTATAAAAATTAAGGTTAAATGTTCTAACGTAGAGGTGAATTATTTGGTTATTATTGTTACTATTAATTTCCATATTCCATTTAAAAGTCATAATTATTTCGTTGATTTTATCCTAGACCCATTTCAAAATTTATTTGATCAATCATATCTTCGTTTTCCTCATCATCATCTACTCCATTATTGTTTATATTTTGATTTTAAACGTTTCCAAAATTTTAATTTTAATTTCTATTGAGGTTAAGTTATTGATCCATCATTCCTAATCTAGGACCTAAAATGATCCTATTAACATTTGGTAATTGATTCATCATTCCTAATCTAGGACCTAATTAATTTCTAAAAATATTTGGTAATTGATCCATCATTCCTAATCTAGGAACTAATTAATTTCTAATAACATTTGGTAATTAATTAATATTCTCTTAATATAAATTCAACTACCATCGATTAAAATTAGGCATCAGTTAGGCATTATTTTATGATGGTAAAATTTGTTTAAATTCTTGTAAGGATATTTAAAATTAATATGGAAAACGTAATCCTTAAAATTTAATTGTTCTATATATCTAATTTTCTAATTAATCTGATATACCATTTATAAACCCATTATAACTATTATCAATATTTTAATTATTTTCAGGTTCTTCTTCGATAATGTACTAAACATCATCTGTCCAATAATTTAATTCTTCTTCCAATTCTTTATCAAAGATTTCTTAAGAATCAATTATTAAAGGAATATTTAACATTTAATGAATATCTGGTTCCATTTGTTAATCAGCATTCACTTAAAGTTGGCTATTTTTAATCGATAAAAAAGGCCAATTTTATAAATAATATTAAAATTATTCATTTTAAGAATTATATTCTTAATATCTTTAGTAGGTTTAATCATTCTAAAATACTTAGTCATTAATTTCTATTGGATTTATTTGTCCTATGATTCCTAATTCCATTTAATTAACTGATAAACTATTAGTAATTACTGGTTCTGTCTTTTCTAAAAGTAAGTTTGTGGCGACTTGATATAAAATATTCAAGGTCTTAATCATAAAAAATAATTAATCTCTATAATTAAAATATCTATTAATATCGCAGTTTTTAATTCCTTCTATGTATATTTTTAAGGTTAAATATTATATTATGCAGGTTACAAACAAATTGGATATATATTTTCATTTTAATAATGTTATAAATCTAATTATTGATTTGTTTTTTAGACTTCTTCTTTGTTTTCTTAATCAAAAATAGTTTTCTTTATTTATGCTTCTATTTATGCTCTTATAATGATTTTATCATAAATTATGGCTAATGATAATTTTGAAAGACTTATAAAATGATTATATGAATCCCCTTTCACTTTAAATACTGATTACAAACCATTCATTTACTAAACAAATTGGTTGATACATGATCTATTTTTTTAAAAAACTTTAACTAGGATTTCAATACATATCTAAAAAGTAATATGATTTTAAACATTCGAATCAAGTGTTTTTTAGACTCCTACTAATATTAGATTCAAATATTCTTAATTTTTTGTTATTAAATTACTTAAAACTGCTAATATAAAATTTACAGCTTTAATTGTTAAATCGTCAGCAACCTAATCTAATAAAACATCAAGTAATTTAAGTAATTCCTTTGCTATTGAGTCTAGTTATTCTTATTATTATTATTATTATTATTATTATTATTATTCTAACTATTATTATTATCTTTATTATTATATTTATTATTTATAAAGCAAGCTTAATACTAAAATAATACTTTATAAGTTATAATCAGGTTGGTTAGACATTTCAATTTCAACTCCTTAAAATTGTAGACTTAGGTTAAATTACTTCTAAACAGATAACTATAAAATGCTTAATATTTCTGATAAATTAAGTTGTATCTCAAGTCCAATCAAATTATTAAAGTTTGAAAATAACTTAATATTTTCTTTAAGTTGTAGTCTTATTGATTCTTATTAAGCTTTGATTTATTGGATAAGTAATTCATCACTTTATTGAGTTAATTTACCTTCTACTTCAAGTCTCTATTAATTCAGTGTCATAAAATCAATAAATTAACCCGCATTTCTTATTCTAGGATTTTCCATAAGTACATTATTTATTAATTAACTTTAGTACCCCATTTATTCTAGTTGAATCATTAATTATTCATGAATTCTATTTTGGGAAATGCCATCAAAGTTTTTTAAAAATCCTGGCCTAGAAATAGAATTTGCTTGTTATAATAAGAATATCTGAATTTTTTTTATGTTCTCTTGTGATGAATTTTTTGTTATTTATATTAGAGAACCTATATCTGAAATTATTTTAGATATAACTAACAAATCAGTTCCTTATGTAAGAATATTAGGAACTCTATATAAGTATTCTAAAATTTTATTAATTTCATCCCCTAATTAATTTATGAGTTATGTGTTTGAGCTATCCGTGTTAATCATTAGAATATAATTCTATATAACATCTTACAAATGATTTCCAAATTGTGAGTCAATAATAATCTTTTCAATATTTTAATCTAAATTAACTTAATTAAAACTATTATTTATTTTTTTTAGTAATTAAAGAGTCATAGTGGGATGATTATTTGATTCAATAATAAGTCTAATTAATAATCTACTTAATGGTTGCAGATTATTATTATTATTTTATTATTATCTAATCGCTTATCTTAAAATTTAAAACAAAATAATTGAAGCATTTTTATTCTCATTTTCAGTGACTAAAACTATTTCCAATAATGCACAACATTTATCAATAAGTTTAGCAGACTAGTTTTAATTATTGACTAAATTATTATTTTAAAATAAAAGTTATGATAAATAATGTAAAATCTCTGACAAGCGTGAAGCTATCTAATAAGTTTAAATAGAACAATTTTCTATAAGCATTTTTTAATTGAAATGCAAAAATGTCACTTTTTCTAAAGTAGATCCTAATTCTCTTTCCCATTCATCTATTAATTATAATGCTTTTTCTAGACATTAACTAGAGTTAAAACCCTAAAATATACAAATAAAATACTTGAATAATAATAAACCTATCGAAGTTAGGGATTTTGAATAATTTAGCTAGCATATTAAAATATTATTGCTATCTTAAATATTAACATAAGCTTTGATTTTCTTAATTACATAATTCACTATGAAATAATAAAGTTTATGTTTTTTTCTTTTGAATTTTTTAAAATTATGATTCAAAATCTTAATTAAAGCTTAAATTTTATTGTTAGTTATTTAATTCTTCCAACAATTATCCTAATACTTTTACTAATATTTCATGTATATAAATTCTACTCTTATCGTTTATGTAATTAAAGTCATTAATAAATTTTGCTAAATTAAAAAAACTTTAGTCATCAATATTATTTTAAACAATTAAATGATAATTTATTAGGCGATCTAGAAATACTTTTGCATAATCATTGAATTTATTAATTTCTTCTCCTTTTGTTATATTTGCATAAAAAGATATTATAGCCATAATTAATTCTGGATCTATTTCTTCAGTACTCATTTTTAGAATCATTTCATTTAAAACATCAGGTAAGTTAGAA